TGAGTACTTGCATTATTATTATTATTATTATTATTATTATTATTATTATTATTATATTCTTTGATTTCTGGCGTTTACACATTTCTTTCCGGGTCCCGCCCAGGGACCTAAGGTTAGAAATGGCGTCATGACACTTTCTACTGACAAAAAAAAAAAAAAAATTAAATTACATAGATAAAGCCCTTCGTAAAGGTGTGGGCTGTACTTGTCAGAACAATTTTTTGTATCTCCTTGAGGCATGGACTTCCAGGAATCCCTTCAATTAGTCTACTGCAATCTTTTCCAACCAGTCCTTGGGCTCCAACTACAACAGGGATTGTTGATGTTCCCATATGCCACATTTTTGAGGTTTCTATTTCAAGGTCCTTGTACTTTGACAACTTTTTGAATATCTTCAAAGATACATTGCAGTCAGCAGGGTATAATCATCATCATCATCATCATCATCATCATCATCATCATCATCATCCTTCTTCTTCTTCTTCTTTTTTTTTCTTCTTCTTCTTCTTTCTTCTTTCTTCTTCTTCTTCTTCTTCTTACATGTGACGCGTCCCTTCAGGACATTAACGACCATTGCTCTCCAAAATTTCCTGTGATCTTTCCGGTAATCAGTGATAGCCTTAAAAAAATTATAACTTACTGAAGCTTTACAAACCGTATATGGACAAGATGCAAGGCACACCCACATTATTGTCCATCAAATAAGACCCTCATTTATTTCAAAGGGAAATTATACTAAACAATTTATCTATATTATGATGTAATATATTATATAGAACAGTAGTTTTAGTCGGATTTTTCAATAAACAATGCAGACTTAAAACATGTCATAATTTGTGCCCAGAAGTATTTTGCTGTTATATACGCATTTATCTATTGTTTGTTTTTATTAATTATGAGCCAACAAATGATATAAAATTATTTTTTATAGAGGAGCATTTTTTGTCATTTTTACAATTTTTTTAACACTTTTTATTTATTAAATATAGTAAATAATTGCATATTTTGCTTGTAATTAGAATTCTGTTTTTTTATGTATTTTCCATTCCTATGTATCTAATACAAAGGATATCAGTTTATTTAGATTTATGCATCTGTGCAATGTTGATTTTTTTTAAAAAAGTGAAAACTCAACCTGTCCTAATTTCTCATTAACCCTTTTTTGCCAGAATTCACTGCCACATAGGAATACCGATATTATGTACGACTCCAGTACTCTTTTCTTTGCTTCTAACGAATTTTGCTAAGCTTTTGGAAAGCTTTGTTTGTCTACGCCAAAGCGCTTTCGGATTTCAGTGTCATACTTTCCATCCTCAGTTGAAACACTTCCTAGATATTTAAAATGCTTTGTTTGATTTTGGCATCTCCAGTTTGTAATTTGCATGTTGTGTTAATCTTTTTGCTGACATTCATATATTCAGTATTCTTGCATGACAGTCCTAAATGACCACAGATAATACTTGCATTGACGAATGCTTACAGCTTCTTAATAAAAATTAAGTAAAAAATATTTTACTTAAGTGTCTCTTTCTTTTGCTCGCCATTATATAAACAGTTTGCTAAGTATTATAACCTATTCTTTACTGCTTCTTTTAGTATTTGTTTTTACAAGCTTTGACACCGGTACATTCAGATTTTCCCATGTTGCAATTCTAATTCAGATAAATCGCGAATGATGAAAATATTTTCTTTCAGATTTCAACTTCTGACATTTTGATTCGTTGCCATTATCCAAGAACGAAACCTCCAGTATGTCGTCAGTTTGTACTTTAGGATCCCAACTTTACCATACGGTTTAAATAATTTGTAGCGTTCTGAGAGTAAGAAACATTTCCAATTCTTGTTTATCGAATTCTCAATTGTCTAACTGATTTATCACCTTCTGGCAATCATATTTTGGCAGTCATCAGTGGAGCCTCAAGCACGTCATAGACATTTCGTCCACTTATGCAAATTAGTCGTTGAAGACACTGGGTCAAGCACTGGGGCAGCGTTCCAAATATTGAGGTCGGTTTTTATCTTGTTCCCTAAGGTTTCAAAGCGAGTTAAGGCCGTCGGGTAGAAAGATTCATCCCAAGATCAAATTTATCGCATGGTCGTATTTATTTAGTCTACGGTGCCACTTTGTACAGGCAAGCTATTACAGACAATTATCAGAATGAAATCATCTATATTCATAGAAGAAATAAAGCAAAAACAGGAAGATACGAATTTCTTTTTGTAAGTTTTTCTTCGCTAAAATCGTCTACAAATATATAACTATCTATGTTTTCATTCCTTTTTCCAATTGAAAAATGAAATTCCACAGACCAATGCCAAGACTGGAAGCGTCCTGTTCTCTGTCATTGTTTTTTTTTTTTTTAAATCTTTACACGAAACAATAGACTGAAAGTTTCAGAAATGCTACTGTGCAGATTCTGTGATAAATATCCCAAAACAATTGACCATCTTGTATCAGTTTGCACGATACTGGCACATACTAAATATAAAACCCGAATTGACAGAGTGGGCCAATAACGGCATTGGAAAATCTGCAAATTTTATGAAAAGGAAAATGCAAGAAATTGATAAGAACACAATCCAAACCCAGATACAGAAATAGATCCTGTAACAATTTTATGGGGGCTTTGAAATACACACAGATAGAACAATCAAAGCTAATCGCCCAGACATCGTGATCAAAGACCGCGAAAAGAAAATGTACCTTGTTATTGACATGACAGTCCCTGAAGAGTGCAATGTATCTTTGGAAATCTTCAAAAATTATCAAAATACAAAGACCTTGAAATCGAAATCTTAAAGATGTGGAATATGAGAACATCAACTATTCCAGTTGTAGTTGGAGCCCTCGGATTCTTTGGAAAAGAGTATGATAGACTCATTGACATGATTCCTGGTAGCCCAAGCCTTAAAGAAATACAAAAAGTTGTGTTCATAAGTACAGCCCATACCATACGCGGGGCTTTATCTATGTAAAATATGTGACATCTTTCACTGTATTTTTGTGAGCAAACATAAATTAAATAAAAAATAAAAACACACATTTTACATAAATAAACCCCTTCGTAAGATGGCGCTTAGAATTATTTTTTTTTATTTCTTTAAGACGTGGATTGCCAGTGTTCCCTTCAATGAGTCTATCAGACCCTTTTCCAATCAAATTCTGGATCCCAACCACAACTGGAATGTCTACATACTAAACATTTTTTAGATTTCCACTATAAGATCCTTGTAGTCTGATAGATTTTTTTAAAGATGACTAAAGACTGTGTGTACGCTATTCCGTGAAGCTGCGGAAAGAAATATAAAGGAGAGACAGGCTGCTCTTTTAAGGTAAGGCTTCAAGAACAGCAGAAAGCTGTAACACGAGAGGAAGTAGAAAAATCAGGCGTGGCTGACCACATATGGAGAGAGAAGGGAGATCACCGCCCTCTGTGGGATCATGTTGAGATCATAGACAAGGAACACCATTGGCAAATTCGTAAACTTAAGGAATCAGCACATATGCTAGGCCACAAAAATCTCCTGAGCCGACCAAGAAATGAATACAATATGGGAACCAGTAATAAGGAGTGCCAGAGAAAAACAATGATAACAAAAGCAATATGAGCTCTGGTAAAAAAAAATGCTATGATAACAGCAAAAAATTACAATATGAGCACTAGTATAAATAGTTGCTGAGACATTAGGTTTATAATACCCAGAAATACCTACACAGATGTCCTCAAGGACACATGGCACAGTGGATAAAGGCGTTGGTTAGATCTAGTGACAGGACCCAAAGAGTGTGAGTTTAATACCCGGTTAAGGCAGTGGAGAACTTTCATAGCGAAATTAGCAGGAGATAGCTAATAACTGACATCCATCAAAAACATAACACGTGGAACTAGAACAGTCTCCCCCAGTGAGCGAAATAAAAGGTTCATAAGGCGACAAAGATAAGGACAATAGTCCAAATAATGTATTATTATTATTATTGGTTGAGTGAGTAGCATAACGTTATAGTGACACTAGTAAACAAATATATTAAACCCAATTTACCCATAATGTTATCCAGTCTGATAACGGTAAAACAAGCACATAAATCACGACCAAATGTGTGCGATAAGACGATCGGTTTGGATGAAAGCAGTGTCAAAACTTGTGGTGGAGCAAAGTTAGTAATGCCTTCGGGTGACCAAATCCGTTCAGTCGTTTATCAGGCTCATCCTCCAAACAAAATAAGTCTTTTGACATCCGGCCATGGTTCTTTCTCACTACTACAACAAATGAACAGAATTGTATAGAGCCTCAGCCACTACAGGATATTCCCAAGTAGTTATGAACAGGAAATTGATATGCAAATCTGTGGTACACAACGATATCATGTCGTCCATCATGTACATGTTCAGTTTAATTATGTGCCATGCGTGATACACGCTTATACGATCATGTATCTTTCGATCCATGAGTGACGAGGCAGATTTTTCCCGCTGCAGGTTGCCACTTCTTTCTTCGCTAGACCAGTTGCCATCCAAGGCTATAGAATCCGGTCTGTTCTGCTATTTACCCATAGCTTGGGGAGAGGAGAAGGGATTATTTCGTACTGAAAAATTACAAGCAAATTAAAAAAAAACAAAACAATGTACTTTTTCCTGTCAAATCTGAAAGAAAGATATCAATAAAATTATACAAGCCCCAATTATCAACTAAAATGATTTTTGTTTTTATTGAATCAATTTAGATGAATTTTCTGTATGTTCACGTTTGATATTGTATTTTTTTTTACTGAAATAATATCTTAAGGAATGTTTCTTTATATGACTTTTTAAAATAAATCGTAAATAGATCCAAATTTAAAAGTCGACACGTCTGAGGAATCCAATAAAAATTTTCCTTTGCACATTCTCTTTTTCGGTTTTATTTTTTAATATTAAAATATCAAACGTCGGGGATAAGCTTCAAAAATAAGAAACATGAAGCGGATGATGTCCGTTGGTTTTCAAGGATCAGATCCAAGGCTACTTAAAGGATTGCGAGTAGCAGAGCGAGCGATAGAAAGGGAGAGAGAGAGAGAGAGCGATAGAAAGGGAGAGAGAGAGAGAGAGCGAGCGATAGAAAGGGAGAGAGATAGATAGATAGATAGATATATATAGAGAGAGATAGAGAGAGAGAGAGAGAGAGAGAGAGAGAGAGAGAGAGAGGAACATACACATTTCATTAATGCTAAGGCCAGAACATTTGAAAAGACTTGCTGTCACTTGATTCATAGAAATCTGAGGTCAGAATAATAATAATAATAATAATAATTAAGTGAATGGCGCGATTTATTAACAGATAAAGAAAACAGTGTTTGATAATTGTAAACACTATTTCAGCGGAATGCCTGTCTTCTTCAAGAAACAATTTTTTCAAGTATAAGAATATATAAATCTACAAAAAATTATAAATCTTTGTAAAAACGTTGCTTCTCTTAACTGTTGAAAAATATTGGAAGACTTACGCCTATCATTTTGTTTAATACTACTACTACCACTACTACTACTACTACTACTACTAATAATAATAATAGTAATCATTATTATTATTATTATTTGTACTTTTTAATCTTCAGATCAGTAAAATTGATGTTTTTTACTCGAGTCCAAATGACAGTCTACTCAATATTTTAAAAGTTTCCTCAGTTTCCTGTACAATTTTACTTATACTTTATTCATATACGCAGGCTTCTGTTTTTCCTCAGATTTCCAATATATATATATATATATATATATATATATATATATATATATATATATATATATAGATAGAGGAACAGAAAGGGGAGAGAGAGAGAGAGAAAGAAATTTCAAGTATTTTAATTATATGATTTATAAATAGGGACATACACATATGAACATACATACAGGCATACATAAACACACATACACACACACATATATATGTATATGCACTCACGCACACACACATATATAATCACATGAGTATATCATTCGTCAATTATCAACGGTTCATATATATATATATATATATATATATATATATATATATATATATATATACGCGACTCTGTGTGTGTGCCTGGGTGTGTATGCGCGTGTATTTGTGCGTGCGCCCGTGCAGGCAGTGAATGTTCATTTAAACAAAAGATAAGACCTTATATCTATAATATTTTTAAATATATTGCTGCCGGATTAATTTTACTTATCTTCATGTCAACGTTATGTACGTATTGTTTATATGTTCAGGTTTGTTCTTGATAAGCCTCAATCTTTTGACTGGTTTTAGACATTATCAAGAAGAAAAAAAATGAACCAAATTTCAGTGATTGTTTGCATGTATGCTTATGATTTTGAATTTTAGGTTTTGTATTTTTTTTTTTACTTTCTCTGAACGTCGTAGTATTTTTGATGCTTTTTGCTTTCACGCGTACTTGGCTTTGTGTGAAATCCGAGGATTTAAATACTTTTCAGAACGTCTATTCCAAAATTATAATTTATTTTGTTGACTTGTGGTTGTTCTGATTTATTTTGAAAAATTCTAAATGTTATTGTCTTTGTTTCTATTTTGTTTTGTAGATCACCATGTTATGCGTTATGTTATTGTAACATTTCTGCTTCTGGGTAATGTATTATCTTGTAGCATTTTGACCGGAATTATGACATGGCTCTACGGGAAAAATCCTCGTATTATATGTTGTATGGGAATTTTGTGTTATTGTCAAAGATAAATCGACATTGTAAACATCGACTTTGATTTTGATGAGGTTTTATTACTAAGTTGATCATTTTAAACTTTTAGAATACTTAATAAATCGTAATTATTATTATTATTATTATTATTATTATTATTATTATTATTATTATTAACATTTTTGTTTTCTTTGATTTCTGGCTTTTACACATTTCTTTCCTGGTTACGCCTAGGGACCTAAGGTTAGAAATAGCATCATGTCACTTTCCACTGACAAATAATAAAAAAAAAAATTGCATAGATAAAGCCCTTCGTAAAATGTGGGCTGTACTTGTGAGAACAATTTTTTGTATCTCCTTGAGGCATGGACTTCCAGGAATCCCTTCAATTAGTCTACTGCAATCTTTTCCAACCAGTCCTAGGGCTCCAACTACAACAAGGATTGTTGATGTTCCCATATGCCACATTTTTGAGATTTCTATTTCAAGGTCTTCTTCTTCTTCTTCTTCTTCTTCTTCTTCTTATTATTATTATTATTATTATTATTATTATTATAGTTCAATTTCTTCTATGGTCACATTACCTACCAAGTCTGCAGGAAGACCTAAGGCAGATAATAGTGTGTTTTTATGGATACATTTCATGATTTGTTTTTCCAACTCCCATAACATCACTAGCGATACAAGGACAAAGTTCTTTTTAGTGTGTGGGCTGGACTTTTCAAGACTATCTTTGTATTTCTATTAATCTGATTTTTCAATGTTTTGTTGTGTTCCTTTTTTATCATTCCAAGCGCACCTACTATGACTGGTACTATTGTTGTTTTCAATTTCTACATTATTTCTATTACCAGGTCTTTATACTACAATAGTTTTTCACATTCCTTGGTTGTTATGTTACAGTCCGCTAGACAAGTCATATCAGTTAGGAGGCTAGGTTTTTTCTTTCTTTTCGGTTTTGGCAATTATATCCGGCCTATTTGTTTCAATCTTCTTGTTTCTAAAGATGGTGTAATCCCATAGAATTGTGATGTCTTCTCTTTAGGTAACCGGTGCTGGGTCGTTTTCAAAGTTATTTGCAAATTGACCAGTGTAAGTATTGCCCCACTCTATCGTGACGATTTTTATATTCATTTGTCGCCAAGTACAGACTACACTGAGATTAGATGGTCAATGTTTTCCTGATATTTGTCACAGAACTTGCATTTTGAATACACATTATTATGTATAATTGTTATGGGATCTTACCCATAATAATAATAATAATGGACTATTCCATACTTAATAAATACTGCGCCTCAGGAATAGTCAGTCGTTCAAGTCTGAACCGACTGTTCAGTTGTACTCTCTTCCTACGGACGGGAGGAACCCGAAGGAGGCTACGCCGAAGGGCGGAGTCTCCTTCGGGGTGGTAAAACCGGCCCTGAACCCGTTTATACGAGTTCAATGGGCATATTTTTGGTCGAGCCCACGGGCTCGGAATGCCCACGTTAAAAAGGCCTTGTGCCAAATGACACCCTCGTGGGGTTGACTGAATATCGTCAGTCGCTCAAGTTCTGACCGACTGTTCGGTTGAACTCTCTGCCTTCGGGCGGGGAGGAACCCGAACGAGGCTACACCGAGGGGAGGAGTCTCGTTCGAGGAGGTAAACCGGCCCTGAACCCGTTTATACGGGTTCAATGGGAAAATTTTGGGGCCGAGCCCACGGGCTCGTAGAACCCACAATAAATAACCGACCTTGTGTCACATGCTGCCCCAGTGCGTGGGGGTGACTGAATATCGTCAGTCGTTCTCTTCTGAACCGACTTGAACTTTCTGCCTTCGGGCGGGGAGGAACCCGAACGAGGCTACGCCGAATGGCGGAGTCTCTTTTGGAGAGGAAAACCGGCCCTGAACCCGTTTATACGGGTTCAATAGGCATATCTTTGGACCTAGCCCACGGGCTCGGAGATTCCACAATAAATAACCGACCTTGTGTCACATGCTGCCCCAGTGAGCTGGTGACTGAATATCTTCAGTCGTTCAAGTCCTGACCGACTGTTCGATTGAACTCCCTGCCTTCGGGCGGGGAGGAACTCGAACGAGGCTACGCCGAGGGGCGGAGTCTCTTTCGGGGAGGTAAACCGACCCTCAACCCGTTTATACGGGTTCAAAGGGCATATTTTTGGCCGAGCCCACGGGCTCGGAGATCCCACGTTAAAAAACCGGCCTTGTGCCACATGATGCGCCAGTGGGGGGGGACTGAATATAGTCAGTAGTTCAAGTCGAGTCAAGAGTCGAGTCAGAGGCAGTCCGAAACAGAGTCGCGTTCAGACAATTACTGCAAGACATTGGAAATAGTGATACTGGTCGAGACTACATTGTTCTCTCTACTAAACCTGATTGTTCATACTAACACTTCTACTTCTCTGTATATATTCCTGTTTGTAATATATCTGTGTCATTCCCTACCTGTGTGCGAGTTTTTATTGGTTCTACCTTGGACTATCACCGTGGCACAATTATCGCGGTTGTTGGGGCCTGGATTCATTATCTGTGTAGGAGTTTGTTCCTATGACTGATTTTTCGACCTTAAGTAGGTTATTTCCTGAGAGATGGGACCTGTTTCCATAATGGAATTTTTATTTAACTTTTAGTTCTCATATTGTTCCCACGGGTGACGCACGGGTCCAAAAGTCAACCCAATGTCGCCTGGCACATTTGGCAACGTTCTTTTACAAACAGGGTTCCGAAGTCTGTATGTGATCATTCGCAACCTTATAACACGGCAGCCATTCACTCTTCGGTATTAGGAACACATTGAGTTGTAGGTTGTTGATCTAAGTTTTCTTTCTCGTTAAAAAAATGACCATATTAAGTTGTAAATTAGCATAAGTCGCAATGACCATTACTAGATGAAAGGTCAGGTGGACATACATTAGGGGTTATCACGAGAAAAAAAAAGGAAAATATAGGTAATCAGCCAATACGACCCTTACCCCTGTGCATACACGCACATATTGATGCATATACATATAAGACAAAGATAGATTATGCCAAGTTACAAAGCACGGAATGTTCCACTGGAATTGGGAAAAATATATAGATAAACAAAAATAAAAATAAACGAAGAATAAAAATGAAAAAAAAAATGAAAAAATTAAAGTTATATAAATTCAAAGAGACTTAAAATAAAATCAAAAGAAAAATGTAATTTCAAATTGTATAAAATTTCGCATAGCTTTTATGTTCAATGACGCACATAGAAGGGCATCTGTCTAAAGATGGTTCAACTTTCTGACACTAATCAGAGTGATAATAATCAAGGTTTATATAGTAGACCCCCCCCCCCACGCTACAATTTAACGGGTGGGTCACTAAGGAATCCATTAAACAATGAAAAAAAATCGATTTTACATTTGAAGGCATTTCACAACCTTCTAATAATACGGGACATAAAAAGTAAAATTCTCACTAAAAGAAAAAAAATTGTTGTTATTATTATTATTATTATTATTATCATCTATGGGCTTTATACATCTGTTGAATATCATT